GATAGGATGTTGAAGAATTCAGTGTAAACGTAGCGTCAAGTCTTTAATCCGTCTAATGTATATACAAGAGGGTCTTCATTATCGTGCTTTGGAATTTTATAATTATGTTGTTAATTCAACGCATATGAATATTGCACCCAATGTGCTGAGTTTTAATTTGGTTATCAAGGCTATGTGTAAGTTGGGTTTGGTTGACAATGCAATTGAGGTGTTCAGAGAAATGCCAATTAGGAAATGTGAGCCTGATGTGTATACCTACTGTACATTGATGGATGGTCTGTGCAAGGAGGATAGGATTGATGAGGCAGTTTTGCTGTTGGACGAGATGCAAATTGAGGGTTGTTTTCCGAGCCTAGTCACCTTTAATGTTTTAATTGATGGATTGTGTAAGAAGGGTGACTTAGCTCGTGCAGCCAAACTTGTTGATAACATGTTTTTGAAAGGATGTGTTCCAAATGAAGTAACTTATAACATACTCTTACATGGATTGTGTCTCAAGGGGAAGTTGGATAAGGCCATTGATATTTTGGGTCGAATGGTATCAAATAAATGCATGCCGAATGATGTCACATTCTCAACGATTATCAATGGATTTGTTAAGCATGGAAGAGCTGCAGAGGGGGCTTCTGTGTTAATTTCCATGGAGGAAAGAGGATATCATGTGAACCATTACATTTATTCTTCTCTTCTAAGTGGATTGTTCAAGGAGGGCAAGTCTGAAGATGCTATGAAACTCTGGAAGGAGATGATGGAAAAGGGATGTGAACCCAACGTAGTCGTTTATAGTGCTCTAATAGATGGCTTATGCCAAGGAGGTAAACTGGATGAGGCTGAGTTAATTCTTCTTGAGATGGTAGATAAGGGTTGCGTGCCTAATGCTTATACCTATAGCTCCTTGATAAAAGGTTTCTTCAAGGTTGGTAGTAGCCAGAAGGCAATTCAGGTGTGGAAAGAGATGGCAAAAAATAATTCTGTTTTCAATGAATTCTGCTATAGTGTTCTCATCCATGGTCTTTGTGAGGTTGGGGAGCTCAACGAGGCTACCATGGTGTGGTCACACATGTTAGGCAATGGATGTAAGCCTGATGTTGTGGCCTACAGTTCTATGATTAATGGACTTTGCAATGTTGGTTCTATAGAAGAGGCTTTAAAACTTTTAAATGAGATGCTTTGTCAGGGGCCTGAATCTCAGCCTGATGTCATTACTTATAATATACTATTCAATGCTTTGTGCAAAAAGAATAGAATCTCCCATGCTGTTGATCTCTTGAATAGCATGTTAGACAGAGCGTGTGATCCGGATATAGTAACATGCAACATTTTCTTGAGCACTCTGGTAGAGAAGCTAGATCCACCTCAAGATGGCAGGGACTTTCTAGATGAGCTTGTTGTCCGCTTGTTA